AGAGAGAAAGGGGGAGGGAGAGTGAGAGAGAGAGAGGGAGGGAGGGAGGGAGGGAGAGAGAGAGAGAGAGGGGGGAGAGAGTGAGTGAAAGAGAGGAAAAGAAAAGACAATTTCCCATATAAATACATGTAATGTATACACAAAACCACAGATGCCAGAGCAGCACTATACTAATTACATTTCCTACCTTGAGAGTGGGAGCATGCCACATTCACTGTAGCCACAAGAGCCAGCATAACAGCAACGGAGTCTTAGCTCATCATTACGCCTTTTAGCAGCTTCAACTCTAAACTGAACGTTATTACGCATACACTACAGGGAAGGAATGGAGGAGAGAGAAAACAAACATAAAAAATTTAAAAAGGAAACTACATGTAGGACAAGAGAGGGAGAACACAGGGGAAGAGAGATATCTCGAGGGGAAGGAGAGGAGAATTAGGAGAGAGAAAAAGGGAGAGATAGGAAAGGAAGAGGGAGAGAGAAACAGAGACAAAAGGAGAAAGGTGTGCTATTATTTATCCAGTATAATTGATACAAATATGTGTGTGTTTGTGTGACAAAATTATGTACACCTAAAGTTGTATATGTAATATTCTGTATGAGTGTATTATAGTGTGCTTGTGCTTGTACATGTATGTGCATGCATGTTATAATCTATTTATTTGCATTACATCACTCAGTACATGTATATTACATTAACACATTTACCATTATGGTAAGACAATCCCTGCAATTACCATAAACATTGTAATCACATACAACAGGCATAGTCCAGGATATATGTCACGGTTACACACGTACTAAAGCCTGGAGTGAGTGATATCATAATGAGCAAGAATAGAAAAGGAAGTTATTCTAATGAGAGGACACCAGTAGTAGTACAAGTGCAGCTGAGGATACTCGAGTCCAAATGACATATGATTATGTGGGCTACACTATGACCACAAATTACACCCACTAATGCAACAAGCGTACATGTACATTTAATGCATGTACATGTACATGTACATTTAATGCATGTACATGTACATGTACATGTGCAATACGTATGTGTATAGTGATGTCAAGTGTCATGGTTTGAATACTTCTTATCACAAGGGAAGTCTATGATTAAAAGGTGACAATATGAATCTATTGATGCATGAAGGAGCAGGTGTTGAAGGAATACATATGTGTGTATGTCTAATGGGGTACATTTTAAATGAGGCATGCTAACAGTTGGAGTGGATGTAGCTGCATAATATTGACGTCTGGTCAATCAAGCGATTAATGGAAATACATAATGTGACTAATGAGCCATGTGTAATGAGTGATGGAGGAAGTGAGCTTTAAACAATTAAAAATAGACAAAATAAGAAATTAAAGAATATTAGACTTTTTAAACTATAAATGCGATTGTGTGCATACAAAGAGACTGGAAAATCTCCCTCTTTCCCCCAGGCATCCTCAATAGAAGTATATATTACATATGTATGTCATTCAAGGGCATCAATAAACATGCGTGTACATGTACATGTATTTGTATCAGCTAGTGCTACATGCATTATACTTAAAAATTGAATCTTTTAAATGCTCATAACTTGAAAAGTTGAAGTCAGAATCAACTCAAACTTTCAACATAGCATAAGGACATCAATATGTATCAGAAAATGTAATAAAAATTGGGGGTCATTTCAGAGCCAATTTTTTGGAAAAAACCATGGGCTATAGTACAGGGATTTTTTCAGAATTTTAGCATTTTCTTAATATGGCTATAACTCAAAAAATTGAAGTCGGAATCAACTCTAACTTTCTAAACAGCATAAGGACATCAATATGTATCAAAAAATGTAATAAAAATTTGGGGTGACTCCGGAGCCATTTTTTGAAAAAAAAAAAAACAATTTTAATGAATATTTGTCAGTCAGGATCAGCTCAAAATTGGCATACAAGTTGCATCAGAAAATGTAATGCACAATTCATTTTACACTAGCAGAACTAAAGACCGTTATTTATACTTACAGGAGTGTACTGGGCCCCAACATGTATCAAGGCATCAATGGAAGGGCCAATAAAGAAATTGGGCTGAACGTCTTTAGCAACATTAGTACAAGTGGTATCGGCAAAACCCTGGACACAATCGACCTCCCTTTTAGGAGTGAACCGAATCGGAGCTAACCCAAAGTAGATACAAACTGCAACAAAGAGTATTATCTGGACTAGCGTTATCAGTATAGTGCATATTGGCCAGAATGTTGGTAAGGACTCCATCACTTCTGATCTTGATGGCTCACCCTCTCGATTTCTACGTCTTACGGGACGCCTAAAAATAAAAAAATATTAATAATATATCAAATGCATGTTAACTTGTTAAGCAGCATTGTATATGTACATGTAAATGTATGTAAATGTATTTGGCAATTTTCAGTTAATAGATTGCAGGTAGATGGCCATGTCAACTATCATTTAATTGGTAAAAGATCCCAAACTCAAGTCATGAAATTACTTGTACAGATATACATGTACATGTACATGTACATGTACACATGTAAATATCTTTGATATGCTTGGCAACGAATGAGCTCCATAAGATATGGGCCGAGTTGAATTGAACTTATTACTTTATTTGAAGTGTCAAACTGCGACAGTTTACACGCACATTGTGGTCAGTGAAGTGTTACATTGTTACTCAGTGACCTCTGCTACTGGCTCAGACAAATTCCTAATAAGCATTGGACTTACTGAATCCCAAAACATGTTTACCAATTGGCATAGGAATTATAGGGCAGTTCAGCAAAGGCTAGACAATGTTCACATTCATTGTTCACATAGCAACAGGCTACTGTGCAATGTAAACTTCTCAAAAAACATCATAAAATGATAGCAGCATAGTTATAATACAAGTTAAAGTAAGTACTACATGTACATGTACACAGTAAATATTCGACTAATCATACATGTACAAATGTATTTGTCATTAAAGATATAGCTTTTCAATACAGCAGCTAATGTACATATACAGTGTACATGTAAAGCTGTGCATTGTGTAAATCTATTCAAAAATGAATTTAATGCCCTGTTATACAACATACTAACATACTACCATATACAGAATATGTGCAATGTTCAATTGTAATATGATAAAGCACAAGTACAATGTGAATCTTTAAATTACAGTTACATGCACTAATTTCTTGAGCCAGTACTAATACTACATTGTTACATAAACCAGACTGGATTTTCCATGACTACACAGTACACATACAGACACAGTACGTTTTGCATATTAAAGTACATGTATTGTATATTAGCAATTTAGCATAATAATTATTACAGTATATTAGATTATCTCCATTCATTCTTGTACCTGTTTCCTCTGAGAGTGAGAGTGTTCCCAAATGCTTGAGCTGTCCTACGTGCTCTCCTTCCCCTCGTCATAGGAGTATCATCATGGATTATCTCAACATCTTCATCCTCAGTAATGAGCTGATACTGTATAGGGGAGAGAGAGAGGGGGAGAGAGAGAGAGGAGGGGGGAGAGAGAGAGAGGGAGGGAGGGAGAGAGGGAGGGAGAGAGGGAGGGAGGGAGGGAGAGAGGGAGGGAGAGAGAGAGAGAGAGGGAGAAATAGAAATAGAAATCAATTTAATCAGCAAAAGTATTTTTTAAATACACATAATAATTAAAAGCTGAGAGTCACATGAGTTTGGT